AGTGGAGATTGAGTTTTCATTATAAATATAAATGTATGCATACAGTATATAGGCACCTGTAAAATATTATAGATTATCTCCTTTCAGAATTGGACTAAAAGAAAGCTATAATTCACGGAACTTGCTCTGCAGTGTTATCACTGAACTTATTCTCAGTCTATAAAACAAAAAATAAAAATTGGTACAAATTAGTAAACATTGTAGTAGAACCTATCATTAGCCATTCAATATCTGCTCTCCCTTTCTCTTATAGTAATAGAACCCTGAACTTTTAATTCTGCACATGGTTTCTTAGAATAAAAACTATATTTTCAGTTTTTCTGTGAATCTAGCAGTAGCCATGCGACTACTTAGATAATGAAAATAAAGCAGAAAAATGATATACAGCTTTACAGCCTTTGTTAAAATAGAGATGATATACCCCTTGCCCCTGCATTAGTATGTTTCTGTTGCTTATACCAAAATATCTGGAACTGGGTAATTTAGAAAGAAAAAAAAATAATTGCTTATAGTTTCAGAGGCTAGGAAGTCCAAAGTCCAGGGAACACAGCTGGTGAACGCCTTTCCTTGGTGGTGACAGCAGATTATCACATTGCAAAATAGTGGACCAGAGAGAGCAGAGGGGGAGACACTCTCTCCTCTTTCTCTTAAAGCCTCTCTCAGAACCACACCCCAACCACCATTTTTAATCCATTCACTACTGTGTGGTCCTACAATCTAATCTTCTCTTCAGGACGCCACCATAATAGGATTTCCCACCCTCTTAACAGTCACAGTGGGGACCAAGTTTCTAATACATAAAACTCGGGAGACACAATTCACGCTTCAATGAGTTTTGGGGGACATGATTCAAACCACTACATCCCCTTTTCTTCTTTTCCCCTCCTTCCTCCTGCTTCTTGTAATGTGGGTGTAATGGATTGATAACCAGTTGCTAACTCAGACCATGAAGACAAGGGCTATTCCTTAGGGATCATTACACATAAGGGACCATAAACAGGAAGATGCCTTTATCTCTGAGACCATTTCAAAGTACAACTAATACACTTCCCTGGACAACATATATTTATATACACGTTTACACAAGAGACAAATACGTTTGTCTTGCAGTTAGTTTGGGGGTGTCTGTTTCTGAGTTAAATACAATCCAAAAAATATGTGCCAGCCATTATTTTTGAAATTTATTACATATTGAGCGATGCATATTTATACTGTGATATATGGAGTATATTAGTCTTGCAGAGTAGGCATTCTATCTTTAGTTTACACACAAGAATACTGATTTTCTTGCTCAGGAATAATTGGAAGACTTTAGGAATAAGAATAAGGTGCCTTAAAGTCCTTTAAATTTAATTTACCAAATGAAAGTCTATTTATCCACTGAATGTCTTGCAGGTACTCACTACAGGAATACAAAAAGGACAAGACAAAGAAAAAAGAACAAAAAGAGTACAAGTTCATGCTAAATGGTTTAGATCTCTGGTTCAGATAGAATATTCCATTTATTCACTGGAAAGTATAATCTTTCTATGAATAATTGATATGACTTAATCTCCACCTACCTATCCAGATATCCACCTCTAAAAGGGAGAAGAAGAGGAAGAAAAAGAGTGACAGAAGGGAGAGAGGAAGAGGACAAAGAGAGGGGAAGATAAAATAAAAAAAGACAAGAGATGGAGAGGGTGGCGAAGAGGAAGAGATGGGGGAGAAAGAAGAGGTTGGAGAGAGGGAGTAGTTGAGGTGGGCTGGGAAGAGTGAAGGGGCAGGAAAGAAAAAGCTTCATTCTGTGACATGTTAGGATGAGTTTGCTTAGGCAGGAGATACATCAGACAAAACATGTAAGCTCCATAGTGTGATTTTGCCTAAAAGATCTATTTTCTTTATTTTATATAATAATTTGATACAGAAGGATGCCTGCGGTGATAGGATGAACTGCAACATGGAAAAAAAATAAATAGTCCACTTTTAATGGTGGGAACCAATTGTCCAAACACAGGTTGACAAACTACAACTAAATTTATCTTCATTTGCCTTGCCAGCCAGTTCAAGGAATCCATCTGCGTGCCTAAAATAGCTATGTTAAATAACTCCGGGCTATTTATCCACAAACTAAATATTTCAATAAATATTTAGTTAAATTAGAGCTTTACTGTTTTTGAAAGCAGCTAGAACATTTGGGGGATATTGTCCTATCACTTTGTGTTTTATTTTCCTCATATGAAGTCAAGGGTTAAGGTAGTTATAAATAGAAAAGGGATGTAAATGGACCATAGGTATGATTCGGTATTGTATTTATTACTCTGTAGCTTATAAAAACTGATTTTATTCTTTGATAACAGAGAAACATAACATGGACAAGAAAAAGATTTGAGACAGTGGTGATGCTAAAATGAATAGGACAACTGAAGAAGACTGTGGCTTCTATGTATCTTAAACAATAGGTTTGCATGCCACTGTATACAGATAGGCAGAAATGGGATTTTCCAGAAAGTTTGTGTTTATGATCCACAAACATATGAATGTGTGGCTGAATTTCTACTTAGTAGTTTGTGTGTGTGAGTGTAAATGTCTGTATGTTCCCTCTAGCAATTTAATTTTATGTAGTTGATAAATAAGAATAGTTTTACTTTTAAGTCAACTCATAAAAATGGTAGTTATTTTTATTATTTTTTTATAATTAATACATATTAAGATACAAAAGATCATTCTTTCTCCATATGAAAAAACACAGTGTCTGATCTTGACTAATACATTGTAGACATGCTAGCTATATAATGTATTAAAACAAATATATTTGTTTAAAGAAAATGAAGAACTATAATATTATTGGTTGTTAAATCATATTTCATATTATAGATACATTTTACATTTGATAATAAAATAGTTCACACTATTTGTGGAACACCTACTTCATATAATGATGCTACCCTAAAGGAATTGACAGATCTCTCAGCGATGCATCACAATATACCAGGGTAAAAAATAAATAGATATGTAAATAAATAAGGGATCTATGATAAAATAAGAGGTCTTTAATAAAACAAAAGTAATTTTAGAAAGTTATTCCAGAAATGTCATCTAATGAGTTAAACAAGATGTAAAAAGGAACTCCAAAAAGTTCATAGAAAAATGAAACTAAAAGATAATACAAATTTTTTCATGAGCCTTTTTAAAACCCCTCATACTTATCAGTACACTTATTGACATGCTATTTGTAAAGGCAAAACCAAACCAAACAAAATAAAACAAAACTAAATTACCATGCCCACAAAAACGTAACAATAACAAACTTAGAAATAGCCTAGATATTGTTAGTAAAAATTAATTATGAGATTAATATAATGAGATCCTATGCATTCCTTGAAAAAAGAGTAGACATATATATATATATATATATATATGCTAATGTACAAAATTATACAGCCTCTATCATCAAGTGAAAAATCAATTTTCAGATATTATGCAATCCTTCTAATTAATGACATGAAATGCATAGAAGAAAGTCTTATTTTAATTTCCTTGATATTATGTTTATTTGACCTGCATACTTTATATTTTATATTTAAGATGAGTTTTTAAAAGTTAATTTTTTTCTGCCTTGAATCTAATTAACAGTCTTGTCTCATTCATTTCTTCATTTCTACATTATTATAGTTATGTTATTGTTATAAACTGATCAATATCAATTTTCCATTAAGTAGGGTAAAAAGAACAGCAGTAAAAAAACACTGTTGGCTCTTGAATGAGTAAGACTACATAAGATTGGGTAATCCAAAAAGTTTCATGAGCAAATAACAATACAGTTATTTGTAAAGAACACTGAATAGTTCACAAAGATGAAAAATATAAGTATAATGTCTATCAGTTATCTGTGGTTGAAAAATAAAGTACCACATAATTTAGTAGCTGAAAACAACAAATATTTATTTAATCATGATTCTGAGGGTTGGTAATTTCACTGGGCTCAGCTAGGTTTCACTGCTTCTGGTGGCAGTTGGTAGCACTCATGTTTCTGTGGTCAGTTCTGTGGTCAGTTGCCACTAAGTTGAGGTTGGTTGGCTTTGAGCTGGACCAGCAAGGGTAACTAGGTCATAAAGCTCTCATCCTTCAGTATGGTAGCCTGGGATTTTTTGCGTGTTGTCGTTCCCAAAGTTCACAAGAGCAACAGGAAAGAAGACAAGCCTCACTCTGCAAGAACTTTTGCATTACCCCTTTACATCCTTTTTTAATTAACCCTTTGGCCAAAGCAAGGCTTAGGCTCAAGCCAAGCCCGAACAAGATCCATTAAGATACTGGCAAGATGGTATGGATACAGGAGAGGAAGAATGTGCAGCCATTAAAAAAAAAAAAAAATTGTAGCCATTTTTACAATCTCTCACCTCTGGTCCTCTACTCATGAACTTTTCATGCAGCCCTACAATCATAATACAGTTACCCCCTTTCAGAACCACCGAAAGTGTCATCCAATCACACCATTAGCCTTAAAGTCTGGGATCTCAAGGTCTCTATGCTATTAGGACATGGCTTTTTGGATTCTGTTCTTCAAGATCAAGTGACTTATGAATATAAAAATATCTGTCTCTCTCCCCTCCCCAACACACATAGAAACACAAAGTGTACAATGTTGAGGGAAGGATAGCTTACCTGCGTTAGACCTATCCCCCATTCAAAAAGAGGCAGGATGGTGGTAA